CCCCAAAACCCCAAAACCCCAAAACCCCAAAACCCCAAAACCCCAATCAGTGCAGAAAATATTGAAATTCTTTATTAGAATGTACTGCTTGTGGGTTTGAACTCAATGCCATCCAGATATTCTGAGTAATCAAGGTTCTTCACTTGCACAGCATTCCCTGCCTTCACAAGATCAGATTTGGCTTTGTTAGCTGGTTTCAGAGCTATATGATTAGAGAACATATACCTGAGTAGTTTGTGGTGTCAACCTCCATTGAAGTGAGAGCTTCCATGTCTTTGTTGTAATCGTAGTAGCTGTAACCTGCTGGGTTGAATTTATAGAAGTAACTCATGTCTTTGCCAGTTTGTTCATGGTTCTCCATTTCAGAGGCAAGGTCTTCAAGCATTTCTTGTTTGGATGGAAGTGTAATTTTGCCTTGTATAGCTTCTTTAGCAAGTAATATTTGTCTCTCATATGTTGAGTGAATAATGGGAAGTTTTTCGACAATTCCAATAAAGAATATATTTGGTTCATTGATTCAAAACATCTTTTTGTACAAGGGTCCAAAATAGAATCCCTCAGTGCCTTTAGAATCAAACTCCACTATTTTCTGTTCTGGGTCAATGAATGGGAAAGAGTATTTGTAGCCAGTTGCATATATAATGGTATCAATTTGTTCTTCAGAGCCATCTCCAAAAACTACTGAATGTTCTTTGATTTCAGCAATATTTCCGGACTTGATTTCAAGAAGATTTTGATCCTGAATATCCTTATAGTCTTCAGATTTCTCTAATAAAGTTGTCGTTTTGCCTGTAATGAATACCTTCTTAGGATTGACAAGATCTTTAGTATCCTCTCTAAAGAACATATTCACAACCAGGTCATTTGCACTGACCCAAGCTCCAACTATTAACACATTTTTATCATCAAAATTTTCTGACTCCATTCTTCTCAAAGAATGCATGTGGATTTGAGTCCCAGAAAAAGTGTCTATGCCTTTGAAATTAGGAATGTTGGGCTTAGTGAAATGTCCATTGCAAACCATGACATAGTCGAAGTACTCCTCCACAACTTCTGATTCTTCTTTGGTGTTGGTGTGGATATGCTCAATCTTAAACTTGTGACTATTCTCTTCTGTCTCTTCCACTCTATAGGTCACATTGGACTTACCTTCTGAGTGATGTGACAGTCCGGTTGAACTCTATGTATTGGGAAAGTTCGAACTTATCGACGTACTCTCGAATGTATCTATGGTTGGCATCAAACTTACTCAAGAAATGTTTCGCTAGGCATTATGTATGGGGTGTCTTCGTGGTGGTAGTGGTCTTTCCAGGTCATTCACTCTTTAGGAATGTTTGTAAGCAAATTGTGATACAGTGACGAGTGTAGGTTCCCGTATAGCTTGTAATAAGCATTTGAGTCCAGGTCTGGATGATTTCGTTCTGATTCCTCTGTATATAGCCAACACCCTCCAATATCATGTTTGGACTCATAAACTTTAATATGAGCAATATCTTTAAGATGTCTGGCAGAGATAAGCCCAGAAACTCCAGCTCCAATGATAGCTACCTTAGGAGCACCCTTAAGAACGCTAGTAGCTGTCTTCACAACTGTCTCCATATTAATTATACCTAAAAATATCCAATTTCTCACACCTATAAGGGGTTTTGGGGTTTTGGGGTTTTGGGGTTTTGGGG